AGAAGCACCTGTGGGTGTTGTAGAGCTGTCTGAGGAGTTCTTATATAGCCAGCTACAGTTATGACTACAGTATTCCAGTCAGGTGGCTGTCAGCAGGTCACAAAAAATGACACATGAAAGTCAATCACTGAAACAGACAAAGGTGGAGTTATACATTAAGAGGAGGATCACACGATGACACTGTTTTGAGGAAATATTTTAGTCAACCTAAGCAAAAACACCGAATGTTACTGTCATGAATCCTGTTTACTGCTTTTTTCTTTGGTTTTTAGGTTTTTTTGAGGGCATGATCAGTTTTGGTTTAGTCATATGGATTCACGTTCAACAAACACCATATGCCTGTATGTGTTATTGTTATGTGTTTTCCCCTGTAATCTGTTTCCCACCACAAAGAGATGGGAAGTCTCCAAAACGAACAACAGCAGAAAAAACAAACAAACAAAAACAAAGCAGACGTACAGAAACAACACAGCGTGTGTGCTAATGTGTCATCCACCTGCGAGCTGAAACCTTAAGAAGAAACAGATTACATCATTCTGGAAAATATGCAAAATCCTCATAGAGGTGCTTTTATTTCTTGAAATTGTAGGTGGCACCTCAGCTAACACCCACTCAGTGAATGTTGTTTGATGAGTTACATGAATGATCAGGATGTATTTGAAGTGTTACCCCATCTTTTTTCTTCTTTTAGAAACTGAAATGATGAAATGATGTATTGTCTTCATATGTACGCATATAACCTCTTGCAGACTGATTAAAGTCTCTAAATTTTCCCACAAATATGGAATTTCTGTCCCCTTTTGTCTGAAAGTTTTCTTAAGGTTTTGAGCTACGGTGCAAACAAGCACACAGCCACACACAACTTCCGATAAACTCTATTCTGAGTTTGATATTGTTTGATTTATGATTCATGCGGGTTTCCACTGACAGTTATTCAACACTTCCTTTCTGTTTCCACAAACACATCCTGTTTTTAAGCTTGACTGTAAGGCCTGATTTTCTGGGCAAATCCCTCCCATCTTTATCAGTGCAAATACAAAAATGTGCATTTTGTCTTTAAATTCTTCCCTGTAAGTAAGATATCAGCCCTTTTTTTTACTGGCAATTTATCTTCTGTAACTGACGTCTGTCTGTCTGGCTGACTAGTGGTCACAAGGCTTTCAGTGTTACGATAGCCATAAAGAAGATGTGGAGTGGGTGGGAAACTAAGAACTAAGCAAAAAGTTTACAGATTTCAAGGAACTCTTATTTTAGTTTATGTCATGCATCTGACATCCCAACTGAAAGCACAGATATCAGTATTTTGTACACAAGATTGGGGTTATTTCTGTCAGAAAAGTGCAAATAGTTTGAATTCTAATACCTCTGGATCAATAAAAAAAAACAATATGCTGTTTTCTTTCTATGATAGAAATGCATAACTATTGCTACAGTGCAGCTTTGCAGTAGTATTATAATGCTTTATATATTTTCAGCAGTGGCTAATGTAAGGCATGAGAGGACAGTTCATTAGTGGTAGAAGAACACAGTTTTTGTTTCGTTTTTGTTTGTTTTTTCACTTAAGTGAAAGTAATACTACTCTGTAAAATATATTTAAAATTAAAGCCTGAAAGTCAAAATCCTCTAAAGTGAAAAAACCTATAATGTGTGAAAAAAAAACAACTACAGCTGTTAGTATGGGAACCAGACAAATGTGTAGAGTCATGAAAACTATTCACAATAGACGATCGTAGACAAACATGAAGATTGTAATAGATAATAAAGTTATCTTTTTATTATTATTTTTTATTATTAGGAAGGTTGATTTTATTGATTTTATGTGTTTAATTATTTTATTATAATAAATAAATGTCATTATTTTTTTCCTGGGGGGTGCCATGTCTCCCAGCTAGATAAATTAATCTCACATAGTATTAAAATGATTTGTTTTTATTGTGAAGTCCAGCAGAAGTGGTCAGGTGCAGCATAGCGTGGATGCATAACAAGTGACAGGTTCACCGTGAGTCAGCACAACAGCAATTACGAGGATGGAAGTTCACAAATCAAAGTTTGCACATTTTTGTCTGCTTGTTTCGGGAAAAATGTGGAAGTAAAGCATGTGAACATGTTATGGTAAATGGGTCTAGGGACTTATCTGGAAAAATTAAAAGTGAAGAAAAAAAGTTTTGTGTGTGTTCTGTGATTTCTGCTACCACTTGTTTATACTACATCACATGTGTTTCTTGCTTCATTTTTATTTGTCTCCTTTAGCTTGCACATGATGATTGTATCAGTTAGATATTAAAAGTTAAAACAGCAGGAAAGTCACATGTTTAAGAAATTCAGATGAGTAAAGCACAAAACTCAAGTTTACTGTGTTTTACACTCAGTAATCAGGTTAAAAGATTCCAGTTTATTTAAAGCAGGGAGGATGACAGTTGATCACTGAGTGAATCATATGATTATTAAAATAAAAGTTGAAGATTTGGATCACAAACATGTAGTAAATCTGTATTTGTATATAATGTGCCATTTGACTCTAGAACCTGTATCATGTGACTACCACCAATGAGCCATCATATGACTATTGTTTTGAATCTGGGTCAGCATAGGGTTTGTCTTATTATAAACTCTTACTGAAACCAATGCATAGTGCAAGTGAGGCAATCAGTGGTTCTCAGAAAGTGCTCAGTAATGTCGGCCACTAACCTTTGCTCCCATATGTTGAGATGTTGTCCTGAACATGTTGTTCTCAAATTTCTGTACCATGTTTTTTACACATGATTATGTATTATTTTTTATTAACAGACAGTCTGTGCACATTTATGAAAATGTCTTTTCAGTGTAATGATTATATAGCTGGAGCAAATGCAAGGTTTTTTTTTAGTTAGTAGCTATTGATAAAGCTATATATAATCAACCAAGTAATCAACAGTGACCTCTGTACTAAGAGATACTACTGGTCAAATAGTTATAAAAAATGAGCTAAAGTAGTTCATGGTTTTGACAGTTGATCTGACAGGTGCTCTCCAGTAGTCATGGATAAATATGCAAAGCAATTTATTCGCTCAAAGAAGAAGCTCATGCTATTTTTTAATTCTTAATTTTGTGTTTTCATAGCTAGTTTTAGTTAGCGTTGCTGTAAAAGCGCCATAAACTGTGTCTTGGCTGCATTACAGCAGCTCAGCCTGTTGTAAGTGTGCCCTGTAAAACCTTTATTTGTTGTTGGCTTTGCAGTGCTATAAACACACCAGGAGATGTCACTATTTCATTTGGAATATTTCAGTTTACTAACAAACATGGAAACCACCAAACCAAATCCACTTTCTGTTAGTAATCAAACTAACGAATCAGTAATTAATCAAATTAAGCTACAACTTTAGGTTAAATCAATTTTAATTTTAATCTTGGTGTTATCCATAGTGAGTCAATTTATGCCTTCCTCATACAAACTACACTTGAATGTGCTGCTTCACATTATGTGGGATTTATTGACAGCCATGTACTGTAATGTGACAATATCTGTGGCTGCACACTTACTATGGATTAGATCCTGGAGGGTAAAAAAAAAAGAGGCTAGTGCCAGCAACAATACTAGCATGAAAAGGCTGTAAGGTGGTTGGAATGGGAAGCTGAGAGGAAAGCTATCCCTGGTAAACTCTTTTAATTTTATTACTCTACATGTTTCCTCAGATTAAAGCCAATCACATAGTTGGCTGCTCTCTTAAGGGGGCGAGGGGTCACACATAACAGCCACGAAATTGTGACGGTGGCCAAGACTGGCATACCTTAGGGCATAATCTGATTATCAGATCAATAACACAGCAACATTTGGTGCATAGCTGGGATGGCTGGCTTCTTCTCTGGTTACAAGTGGCTGGCATTTGCCACTCATTCCCACTTTATAGGTGACAAAGTGTGAATGCAAGCAGGAATTCAAATGGAAGGCCTTTTAAATAAGACGAGGTGCACAGCCTAACCTTGATCACATCTGGCTCTGCTACTGTATCTGGGAATCAGACAGCTATGAAAATGTCAGGGCACCCAACAAGTGTGCAAAATTAGAAACAGACCGAAAAGCCCTCATCACAGATATGTTACCTGACACCCGGAGTCTTCCCATGGAGCCAAATTTCTTCAGGCTAATATTAGTATTTATTATCTAGAACTATTACTCTCTTATATTCATGTTGCTAACATCGTTCAAGGTAAACATTTATGAGATGTGACAATGAACCATAAAAATATTTATTGACATCACATTCTTGGACACGAAAAAATGAGCACACCGAAAAAATAATCCCACAAATATTAAGAAAGCCAAAATTCAAAATTTCCACGAATGACAGAGAACAAAAGGACTAAAATGGAACAGCATCAAATTGAAAGTTCAGTTTTACCTGATAGTTCTGAGCAAACAAATCGTGGTAGATGCGAGAGATATTCTCCACATAAGATAGATGATAGATCTGGTATGGTCAGCTTTATCACCTCTTTTAAAATATATATATATATATAAAGCACAATCAGCTTGACACAAAAAAATTCAGAACACTGGCCAACCTAATATTTTAGAAATGCACATAAACACCAATAAATATAAACACTTTATTTCAGAGAGCAGTATTATATAATAACAAACACAAAAGGCCTCATGATAACAGTCACAGAGCTTAAACTGCCATAATTGCTGCTCTTGTTTATCACTGAATGTTGCATTTGTGAAATGCAGATAAGTGGATAATGAAAACCACTGTACCAACACAGAGCATGAGACAGAGATAACCAGGGACATTGGAGGAAATCCCTACTCTCTGCTATTCATCCCTCTGTCCCTCCATTCATCCTTCCATCTCTCTGTCCTCTGCAAAAAAAAAAAAAAGTCTGTTGTGATCCTGTCTTTCTCAGTCCAAACAGGTCACTGTGGCTCCCACCTTGCCAAGGTCTGTGCAGTGACAGCAGAGGGAGACCAAAAGAGCTGAGAAAAAGAGAGCAACAGCACAGATTACAGACAGTTCGGACACTCTCCCTCTCTCGCTCCCTCTTTCGCTTTGCTTTATCTCCATGGTGCACACATGTCGACCTGGAGCAAGGCTGTATACTGGCAGGGGAGGCTAGAAACAGAGTGAAGGGGGTGGGTAGATGGGGATGCAAAGTGTGTATGGTGGAGGGGGGCGGGGGATAAAGGGACCTGCTGCGACAATAGCAAAGTAGGTCCAGGGACTAATTGGATCTGGTAATGGCTGGTCACTGTGACTGAAGGGCTCGTTAGAACCAGTAGAGCTCCTTGCCTTTCTTGTGCTGCTGGAGACCTGAGGGGAAAAAAAGAAAAGGATACAATGAGGAGGACAATGGTGAACACAGAACACAGGTTGTCATGGAGTCTACTTGTGCCAAACATCCTGTTTTTGTGGGGTGGCGGGGCTCCTGTGATGATTATGATGTGTTGTGTGCATTTGTGAGTGTGTCTGCATGCGTGGGAGTGTCTATAATGGTGACTGGGTTATTTAACTTCCTGAGCGTATATATGTTTGCATCTGATCATTTGTTTTCATATATAGAGCATTACAGGGGCTGAAAGCTGGTATAGCAGTGTGCAACAGAGTGTGGGTGTTTGTGTAAATGGTTATTTGACTGTATATTATTCATGAATCTTTGATATTTTAAAGTCAGGATTGCTTGGTGTGTTGTGTTGCTAAATTTAAAGGGATGAAAGTTCAATCTTGCACTAAAACTGCACTGTACCATCCAAAAGCCTCACATGGTTGAGTGGTTACCTGCATCCATGTTGAGGGCCAGGGTCTGGCTGACATCTCCTGGGGGGAGCAAACTGGGCCATGAGGTAGCGGGCTCCAGCTTGCTCACTTCATAGTGGCTTGGCAAGGTGGGAAGATGTGGTGGCCTCACGGTAGGCATGAGTAGGGGCCCATAGTGGGGCTCCAAAGCCGAAGGTGAATAAAGTTCATGGAGAGGCCGTGGGGGGCCGTAGGCTTGGGCCTGAGGATATCCCCAGCTTTCTGGTGGGTGAGGGTGGGAGTGTGGATGAGCGTGTGGATGAGGATGAGCGTGTGGGTGCTGCAGGCTGGGGTGTAGCCCTGATGCGTACGGGTCCATGGAATAGGAAGGTGCACCGGTCTCACAGTGGGAGCGACTCTGAGGCGAGGAGTAGTTACTGTCCCAGAAGGATGGGGGGAAGCTTCGTCTACTGCTAGGCGACGGGGTATCTAATAAGGGAAGAGGTGGGAGAGAAGAGGTAGGAGGAGGCACAACAGTCAAACTTAGGCCAAGTCATGAACTGTTGCACAACTGCGTAGTGAATTGAATTGATTTATAGAAGCAAATGGAAAGGCTGGAGCTGTGCAGGAGGAGCAACACATACTAAAACATAGATGTCACTCACATGACTGCTACACCCTCTGGCCCAGATATCTTCCCCATTGGATCATACTGTCACACCGTCCTAGCCCCAACAAGACACAGAAATAAACACAACCACGTTCGAGCAGACAGAGGGGAGTGAGCGCTAAAGAGAAAGGTAGAAAGCGCGATGTCCCTATACCCTGGAATTCTATATAAGGCAGGCGCTCTGACCTGGAACGAGCCCAAGACTCACGGGGTCTTAAATCACTTGCTGTGGTGACATCTCTCACTCTCCTGTCAGCTCACTACTTTTGAAAGTCTCACAACACACTCAAGCCGACACAGACACACACACACACACTCAAAAAGCAATTCTAGCCCCGTTCTAGCACCCGCCAACCCTCTCTTCTGTCTCCTGCACCCCCACCTGTTGTTTTCTCTGCTCCCCCACCCTCCTCGCCCTTGACAGAATGTCAGCAAGCCATTATATGTTTTTAGCAGTATAATTTTCCCATGGGATAGTTATATGAAAAAAAATGCCCTATGCATCCCCCCAAGAGGCAGCGTTTCCCACTGCCCATATCACAATGACCGCAACTTATATAAATCTGACTGGCAGGTGGGCAACTGACTGAGCAACCATTGTGGGGCAAGAGCTGGAGCAAGAGACAGAATGGCAGCCATGGAGACGTTTGAAGGGGATACCACAGCGAGGCTGTGCGCTTACGGTCATGTATAAACATAGCATCTGTTGTGAGGCAGGGAGCGTGCACTGGTGCTGAAATGAAGACGTCCGACTCAACAAGGAAAGAGACTAAAACCGACAGAGCAACAGAGTGAGTAGACGCTTTAGGCCCTACATGGATATCCAAGGGATATCGTCAAGCTGGCAGCAAAAAAGAACACTGGCATCTTGAAAATATTCATTTCGACATTTTTGTTTACTTTACATCCTGGTGCAATCAGATTTAAAATTGTAAAAAGAGGAAAGGAACATCTTTACTTAACACTAATTTGAGCTTTTATAGGATTCTCTGGATGATAGTTATGGATTATCTGTACTTGGTATTAACATAAGCCACAATAAACTCATAAATCCATAGCGTTTCGTGGAGATAAAGTTGCCAAAACATACTGCAATTACAGAGTCATATTTAGACCCGGGAGGCAGATATTAGAAATCTGACTATAGCTAGGTCTGATTTTGGGATTTTCACAGACAAAACCAACAATGCACGCTGACTCTCTTGTGTCTTTTTTAAACCTTTTAGCCTGGAAGAGTCAAAGTAGACCCATTTGACTTCCAACTGCTCCTAACCTTCCTGACCCGATGCCCCGACCTTTCCAGGGACAACTTTTTGAACAAATGAGCCCTTCAACTGACCAAATTACCTGTGTGACACTCTGCTGCGCTCCCTGTCAGTTCACCGTGTGTGGCCTAGAAATCTCATGCAATATATCTCAACTGTGACAAATATGCCACCTGTGCTTCCCTAAATACATGGGAGGAGGATTTAGTTAGGAGAAACCCAACAATTGTCATGTAAACACGCCTAGAATAAATTAGTCTATTAAAGATTTGATAAAATTGATTGGTGTTGCTTTATTTTTGTGCATATACTGCACAAATTAGATTTTTATAAATACATCTAGAAATCTTTTGTTTTTTGTTTTCAGTTTCTTTAAGAACACCAAACATTCACTATGACTTTGTATTGCTGGTACAAGGACCTTTATTTGAGTCAAATAATCTTTCTGCATGCACAATGAAATTTACCTGTTCCCTGATGCTCTGGTGCTCGACGTTTGCCCTCACCATCCATATAGGAGCTGAGGGCTCTGGAGAAGTGCTCATCCACAACGCTGCTGATGTCTCCCTGGTAGTAGGTGAAGAGGACACAGCGAGAAGTCAGGTATTCTGCCTCGGGAGCTTCCTGCTTCTCTTTGGGGCCTTCTTCTGGCCTTGAAGCCGCAGGAGTATAGGAGGAAGAAGAGCTGGATGAAGCAGAGGAGGAAGTTGATCCTCCAGTGCCTGGGCCCCCAGACATCCCCTCGGGGCCGTTGGGAGTGTCCATAAAATCCCGGCAATGAGATGAAGTGCAATTTAGACCTGTGGCAGCCTGGCGCGGTGTTAGAGGGCAGGGAGAGGAAGAACAGGGAGAGAGCTGAAACAGGTGTTGCAGAAGACAGTTCTGGAGCTGACTATGAGACATTTTGACACGATGCTCTTCTTTGTATGAGGCAGCACTGGTATGTGTAATCTGTGTGTGCGTGCGAGCTGCTGTGCGCTAATTAGTGGGTGCAGAGTGACTTCTGTGCTTGGTGTGACATGTACAGATATAAAGAAAAAATCTCAATAAATCAAACTAATTCTTAAATCACAAACTTAAACAAATAAATAACTTTTTGAATCGGGTTGTTTGCTTTTACGCACAAGCTGCATAAATTAGCATATCTGTTAACTAGCACAACAGGCTCCAATACTTGAGATGAGAGTTATCACAAGAACGTTTCCACATGTGCTCATTTCTTACCTGGAAGTTACTGATAAAAGCGGGAGCAGTCGGTGCGTACGATGCGTAATGTCCATAGGCTGGGTACATAACATCCAAACAGCTCATGGTAAATGAGCGATGTCTTCAATGCTCTGTTGAAACCGACCTTAGTGAGAGAGAGAGCGTCAACATTCCGTTTATGTCGGAGAGAAATGAGCTTCTTAGTCGCCGATCAGTGCACAAAAGCCCGTTCCAGGCTCGGCATAGTCACTCCAGGAGGAGCGCACCTCTCCGCTTTCATTGCGTGCGCCACACAGCTGCGGTACCAAAATGTGGTGAGGTTTATGGAGCAAGCATGAGGGTGTCCTGTCCTGTACATCTTTGTGTCAACCCCTCCCACCTTTACCAGCTCTCAACACCCCACATCACCGACATTAAGACTCCCACTGGCATAACATCTATAACAGATCGCTTTCGAGCAAATTTGACACACTACTGAAATTAACTGCCTGATGGGTGTAATCGTGTAAAAGCTCATTTAAAACATATAAGCGTAAATTATGTCAATATTTGTGAATATAAAATTGAAAGAGTGGGCAAGAGTGTATTCTAGAAAAGCTGTAAGCACACAGTAAATCATTATGACTCCAGACCATCGTAATCCTGGTGTAGAAAAAAAAGGGTTAAATAGAATGTCATCTAGTTACACAAATAGATTTGGATGAAGTCACTGAGCTTTATAACTGGCCACACAACAATGAGCACATGATACACGTGGTTCAGCGATTTTTTTATTCGTCTCCATGTACTTTGGATACTTAAAAACTTTGTGTTCAGTCCAGGTCGAAAGTGTATCCATGGTCTTAAAACAGCTATCGGTTGCCAAGCAAACCCTCAAGTCATCTGAAGTATTTAGTGGGTTCCGAGAATGACACATAGGTGTCAACTATAGGTTGCATACACTGGTCATACCAGCATAAAGGAGAAAGGGACTCTGCACAAATCTATGACAAATTATCACCTATCAGAAGTGCAAATAAAAAGATATTTTCACACACACTAACACAAACAGTGACAATCACAAGCACCACAGAAACACGGAATTCAAAACAACAACCATTCAATGTAAAGAACACTTTTTCCAATAGTGCAGCCTCTTTTGCTTGTTTTAAGTGTTTACAGGTGCCTGATGTTTAGGCATGCCAGTCTTTTTGACAGGCACTTCAGAATGCCTGGGAGAATAGTGTGGAAAGTTCGCAGAATTCCATGGACGAGTGTCAGATGAGGTGGAATGTCTCTGATGTATGCTAGTGGATGAGCTCCTCTGGAAGTTACATCGTTCCTTTGCTGCGTTCTCTAGATGCAGAACATGACCAACATCTTGCTATGCATACATCATACATACTGTGAATAACTGGTAACAGGTTATTGGCATGCTAGTTAATCAAGTATGCTCTCAAATAGCAGTGGATATGCTTAAATATGTAAGTTTTCTCTTTTTCTATCAGCTTTTAATCATTATTATTTCAAAGCTGTGTGATATAATTCTCTAATTCACAGCATTGTATATAATCCCAAGACAGCAAGAGAAACTCACTTTCTAAACCACGTAAGTATTTTAATAACCTTATTTGGGCATTAGCCCTGCTTCCCTGCTTCCAGTGCATTGCCCTTGCAGTAAGTTGTGGAATAGGGGCTACCAGATCCATGTGCATGCAGGGTAATGTAATGCAGGACACCACAGGAGTCAAGGAGAAAGAGAGTGATGCAATGCTAGAAAGCTCACTGTTACACCAGCGTGATCAACAGCTGCAGCTGACGGAAGGGAAGGGAGGCCACTATTAGTATTAATGGCCATGACTAAATTTCTCTGTCTCTGTAACTCTTTCTGTCTCTGCTCCCCCCACCCCTCCACTTGTCTTCCCTAGTGATACACACACCTTATCTCTATTTAATCACCCTGTCTTCCCCAGCCATAGCCAACCCCTGTGCACATTTGCGATTGCGTGTATAAGAGAGTGCTGCTGAGTGTGTGTGCACACATACATGTGGCCACATTTGTCATCAAGTGACCAAACTAGGAAGACAGCGAGAGAGACAGTCAGCCTGCAAGAACATGGCATTGGTCCCAAAGTCCAAAATTTAGTCAGCTGCTTCATTTCTTTTTGTCAGTGATATTTAATAGTGTATGCCAAACTCTATGCATGGGAAGAACAGTGTGCACACATCTTTAATTTATCTTGTGTGTGTTTCTGAGGGGAAATGTGTTTGGTGGTGTCTACATTTACGTGTATAGGCTGAAAATAAACACAGGTTACATCATTCCTTGTGACCCCTCAGCACATTTAAGCCCCGCCTCTCTTAAAAGAGGTCTGACCAGGCAAAGTCTTTCATTGGCTGAGATTTGCGGGCCGGCTGAGGTAGTAATGGCAACCAGGTTTTATTTAGACCACTATTCAAATTGCAACACCACCATTAATAGTTTATACTCTGTGCTAGAAATACCTGAGAACATTAAAGAAATAATTGTGAATGCTCCGTGTACCACTGTCTTTTTAAAGATCACTGAAGTTAAACTGTCAAAAGGAATATAAAGTTTATTAAGATGTAAATGCCACTGAGGAAAATGTGATCAGTAAGCATATGGTGATGGTCTGTAAAGTGGGGCTTGCAATATGAACCTGAAACCATATAACCTACCTCCTGAAACAACAAGTCCTTTATTAAGGTCTCATAGTGGCTTGGTCCCGAGGGGGTCGGCCCCTCAAGATTCCACTGTTGTTTATATGCTTCAGTGAGTATGTGTGCCTGTGTGTGCGCGTACGTGTGTGTGTATATGTCCAAGACAGAGATGTACAGCTGCCCCGTTGTCCAGTTCACAAACTCATCTCAGCTGTTCAAAATCATCACCAAGTGTCATCAGAAACACAGACACCCAGGCACACACACACACACTCACACATGCATACATACAAAGGGCCACATATGGACAGGTCTGGCTCATTCAACCTTCTACACAAATGTTGGTGATAAATCCTCTGTGATAGAATGTGCATGTGTGCAGCTATTTTCTTCGTCAAACAACCTCCGCTTTGTCTCCGCGGACCACCGAGGCCCAAGTTTCCAGAGTTTGAATCTACAAGTTAGTTAAAGAAAGTTAAGAAACATGCACAAATTTACCGTTTCAGTAGAAATCACATGCATTTGGCATTAATCGCCATTTTCCACAGCAGTGTTTACAGTGAATATAGAATGTATTTTATTTGAGGAAGTCTATGGTTTCAGGAGCCTACAAGTTAAAAAAAAAATCAATTCTGTCGCCTAAATGCATCTCAGTCTGTCAACAATTTTTTGGTCTTAAGTTGTACATTACAATTCAATGTTTACAGCAAATTTTTCTGTATTTCTTGAAATATTTAAGAAATAATTTAGAAGGTACCTTAGATAATCATCATCATATTACACAACTGCCACGCCCCAAAATGATATCCATTTTCAGGTAATAACGCAATCAGGGAGCTGTTGCTCCTTCCAGGACTAATTTACAAGAATTACCTTCTTGAGCAAGCAACCATGCAATAACACCAGTACTGTTGAGGGCTGGGAAAAACGCTTTCACAAATTTAAAACCAAGATTTGATTTGCAAAGAAATCAGCAATAATGTTTTGGTATATTTTTAGAATCAATGCTCTTAAATATGCAAATCGCTGGTTATTTAGAGGTACACAGACAGATATAAAGGCTTTTTTAGAATATATTTATTAAACAGATCTGTAATACACTGACAGAAAATAAAATTTCACTATTGCTGGGGAGTCAATCATACAACTAGCAATGTGCTCCCTAGCTAAATATACTCAATTCCCACTGTATTGGAGGCTAACCTTATTAAATGGGTAGAATGTGAATTAACAGCATCCTCAGAGAGCCTGACAAGTGCTACATTGCTAACATCCTATTGCTGAGACAATTTTGCCGCCACATAACTGCATTGGTCATCGGAATGAGGCACACAAAAATACAAAATTACAAACTCGTTGAAAAGCACACACAGATATACAGTAAGGCCAAAAGAAAACATACAGACACAAGAAAGATGCACACAGGACCTCTCATCTGAGCATGTGGGATTGTCACCTTACTGCCTGACATTCCTGCTTCAGGGTGCCAGCAAGGCCTGCAGTTAGAAGGGCAATGCTGGTGGCAAGGGGGTGGGGGGAAAGAGATGCGGAGAGTGGACAGAGGGCAGAATCAGAAATTTGTCGTGTCACATGGTCAAACAGGGAAGATTTACGACAGATTAGGTTTCTCATCAGCAGCATAGTGTTGTGGCTTTAGAATGACAGGTATGGGGGTGAGATCAGACTCCGGCTTTAGTTTGTACACCCTTTCTGGCAACTGCAGCCAGTGTGACTGGCTCAAGATGGCAGTGTTGCGGATGGTAGGCATGAGTAATGCAACAGTCTTTCCTTGTGCTCGGTTTAACATCGTTCTCAGTGTTTACATGTGAATCTGAAAATGCAGACGTGCCAAATTCATAAAGAGTACATGCAGAGACTGACACAAACTTAGACAAATTAGGTCGAAAAACAACAAGACAAACTTTCAAGAGAAATTCTTGAAAAAAAAATCTCATGCAAACATGCAAAACAGAGATTAGCAGTTATTTAATCATTTCTCTCTCTTCCTACTCTCAGGAGCTATGATTTACTCACCGGTGACATCATGGAGACCACAGCTATTTTTATTGGCTGGTAAGCAGCCAGCTCTTTGCCATGCTATGCCACCTGTCCAATCCACAGCAGTCAACAAGCCCCAGGGGGAAAAAAGTCAAGCACCCAAAAATGATTGAGAGATGAAAGGTGGAATATGAGACATGCATGCCATTCTACTGTCCTAGGCATGTTTCACAAGTCAAATGTCTTGTCACTGCTACTGGTTTGTCATCCCTATTTGCATTTGTTCTTCGTTAAGTCTGCTATATTTCCCATTCTTCAACACTTATCTGCGTTACTTCATCTCTGGAGTAATGGCTTTTACGCTGCTCTTGGACCATCGCTGACATTGTCTGAGCTGCAAAGATGGGGTTATTCCTGGCCCTGTAACGTGACTTCTTAGGTGCAATTTAGTCACATGCCACATACAGTAGATTGGGGTGGAGGGGGTCACCATTTCACTCAAGTGCCCTGCATGATGTTAACTATTACAAACTAAATATTACAGAGGCTAGAAGCTGGTGACATAAATGACTGTAGATAATACCACATGTTTTGGAAGATTACAGTTTGTTAAAATATATTAAAAGTTGGTCTTGAGATGAAAATGACTCTGGGTCTTTGAATGAGTGGGTATATTCTTAATTAGTTTATAAAGGATGACTTACAAGCTGAGGCAATATCAATATAGACACATTTGTAATTAGTGTCACTGAGTCTTGCATGGTCAA